CGCAAAAGTTGGACAATGAATACCTCCAAGCCGCCTGGCTTTTTTGTGAATGGTTTAAATAGGGATAGCCTTTAATATTGACTGGCTTTTAACACTGCAGTTGCAACATGGTCCATAAAGCCATGAATTACAAGGCTAACAGATTTTGGTCAATTGGTCAACGTACTGTGACAGTTATCCCCTTTACTTATGTCCGCCGAGTCCCACGAACACGCAGTGAAGACATCGACAGAACTCTCACGGCCTTTTTTTTTTAAATTTTGTTAGCTTTCAAATAGAATGCTGTGCGGAGTGTATACACGTAAAACGACATGTAGAATGTAATCATGCGCATAATTGTTACAAAACTTTGCTTTTCACCCAATTAAGTATTGCATTTGTCATTGCAACCTTCCAAACATAAGCAAAGCATCCAGTTTGGTACTCAAAGTGTATTCTATTCGGCAGTAAATCAACGGCCTACTACTTGGTTCGCCTTTGGCTTCATTGTGAAAATAATAGGCATCTGCGAATCATGGATTTTGGCTTAAAATGGATAATTATTGGAGCTTATGAACTTTTCAGTTGAATGTCACATAGTTTCTGCACCTCTCTCCAAGCCCGTGAATTCTGGGTCCGTTTACATGAAGTCATCCAGCAGCCGCTGGTTGCCTTTTGGGCCACCGAGATTGCTCTTCTCTTGACGCAGACAGCTCATTGTATATTTTGTCAGAACACCCTTGTCTCTCACGGATTCGAGGGGTGTATCAAGGTGCAAACGCAACAATGTATCATAGATAGCTGTAGAAATATATTATCACGAGCACCCTTTAATGTGGAATCACCCCCTCCACCGTTGAAAACCGCAGCCGTCAACCTCGACACGCTGCATGCTGGATTTTTGCTGCACCGGTTGGTGTTTGGACGGGGGAGTTCATATGGCCGGCGACTGTACTAAAAATGTAGCTCTTGAAAATTATTTTTTACAGCTACATGCGAAACATTTTTATGTTGGCTGTTTTCTGTAGCCTTTATCTTTGGTTTTCCAGTGTAGAGGAGGAGGCAAAAAAATTAACATTGGCCAAAAGACAAATATTAGCATGTATCGTTATGGTCAGTCGCAGCCCTATACGGTTCATAAATGCAGGGTGGCGAGGTGAGAGGGGTGCGTCTGTGGCAAACATAGATTGTGGCACCTAAGCTCCCCGCTTTCTGTCGGTGTTTGTCCCTTCTTTTTTGCAACTTGACTTCCCTTGGCTATGTTCGCTGATACCGAAAAGAACCCATTATCGCACCCAATGAAACGCTGGCGACCGATGACACCGCCTGACAAAGCGTGTCTGCCCAAACGTCCCTGCTTTTTGCCTTCTTCTTTTAGACATATTGTTTCTCATTTGTGCATTTGTTGGTGGCCTCTTACCCATAGAATAACCTCCAATGTACACAGGAAGACTGCTGTCAGCAGAAAGAAAACCGGCCGCTGAGAAGTTAAAAGTGAGAGCAAAGCAAAAAATCACTCATTGCAAAAATAAACCAGTGATGCCTCGGATTTTTGAGTGGCTTTTTTTTATCTCCAAACCTGTCACCTTATTTCTAACAATAAATGTAACAAGATACATTAGTCTAGCAGGGTATCATAATACATCGCAAAAGTATTTCACTACTGAAACACAAATAAATTTCGGAAATGCAATTCGGCACAGAAATAGAGATGCTCACGAGTGCCCCTAAGATTACATCGCAATGCTTGCATGTTGTGATGTTGCCCCGATTGTAATTCTTCATTCGTTTTGCATTGCTGCAGACACCGGTTACTTGTTCCAACATAAGCACTGGATGCATGTGTGGAGGCTGATGCTCATGGCCTTAACTGCAGCGAATAATAGCAGTTGACAAGAGCAAACAAGTTTTGACCTTCTACATTAAAATATGTTTTGCTTTATCCTTTTACCTAACGCAGGACGAGAACACCCCAGCGACACCATTTGTCCTCTACAACAAGCAAGAGCTGGGCGATGCAGACTTTCTTCACCTTGTTGAGGATCGTGAGTGCTTGTTTTTCGTTTTTAATGCAGAAGAGGGGCTGTGCATGTTGTTGGCAGCATATTGGCTTTTCATCATCCAGTACGAATGCAAGGCCTCCAACGCACTGGTTGCTCTGGAGAGGATTTTCCTTGGCTTGAGCGACGCCGATCCAAGGACAGTCGTAATTAAATTTTTGAACAATGTTTGCAGAAAGGTATGTGGCTGAAGAGACGTTTTGTGAGCCGTTTTAAAAGTGTATAATCCACATTTCTCGCCAGTATCATCAGGTTAATTTTTATTTTGTTTCCAGAACGAATGATAGAAGGTTTTATGGAGGCATGTTTTCTTTTTCTTTCTTTAAATGTTGGGCACTTTCTGTGATAACTATGCTAACCTCCTGTAGACGAGGTGCTTAGAATGTAGCTGTACGAGTTCCTTATCCATAGTCGTCTTCCAGAACTTTTTAATTTTCTTTGTACGTGAGCAAGAGGATAGCGTGTTCTACTGAAACGTTTGCTGTTTTGCCGTAGAGTGCAAGTTCATTCTGTAAAATTTTTTATTACATATTTGCAGATAGCATTCTTTATTTCATGGAATGGCATACATTGTATTTTCCATTTCTCAAGGTTCAATAAATGTTCAATTTAACACATTCTAATTGATGCCATAATGAGCTTCACCTAATGAAGTACTGCTGTGGTTCAGTCAAGGGCTAAACTACCCCCCTCTACCCTGATTCCAATTAGTAAACAGATGCGCGTAGGAGACAAGTGATAAGCGAAGCGTGTTGCCTGCAATCCTCTGAGACAAACAAAACATGTCACTTGATCTCCAAACAGGAAAGCTTTGCATGCTTCGTTTGTGGCAGACCATGATGTTCACAATGGTTCAGCCGTGCAGTGCAATGCTTGGGGCCACTGCTTGCTCACTTAGAGTTCGAGAAAGGGGGGTGCCGTAACACTTCCCAAGTGCCCACGGGGTTATGAAGTGGCTTGCAAGGAGCTCTTTTGTATTACTTCTTCATGAAGTGAGTTGTGTTTAGTGTGACTCATTATTTCTTTATCAGATGCCTCGTATGTGGTGATGTGGCAATCCCTCTAAGTGAAAAAAGTGTAAATAAGTTCAGTACACATGATAAGCTGTAAATCATATAATAATAATATAACAATATGCAATACCATATATGATTTTCGTACAATTTACAAGTTCTGATATGCGTATTGGACACATTCCAATGAAATGTTCACTGGGGTCTATACTTCATTTCACTCTTCGTCCGAGCGCGGCGGACGCTACCAGCCAATCCACCGTCGAGAGAGCGTCATGTGACCTTTAACTCCACATAACCAAAACGTCGCATGATACCCTCCCGGCGCCAGATTGGCTGGGGTGACCCAGCATCCACTGGGCCACCCCAGCAGGTGCTCATTTCATGCCAAGCACCCTTCACCAAGGGTGTTAGCAAGCACCCTTTGTGAAGGGTGCTTGCCTGAACGCCATAAGGGTGTTAGCCCAGGGACAAACTGATTTACACCCTTAAGTGTGTAAAAACATTTACGGTGTACTCAAAGCTTCTCTTTCCCATTAGTGTTAGTAAGCTTGTGTAAAGTGAAAAATATTGTAACTGAACAGTAGAGAGTTTTAGTAGATCGCTCCCATGACTCCGATATCGATACTCGATACTCCGCCACCGCCTCCCTTGCGCATGCATGGTATCGTTATCGGGACTATCGGAGGTATCGGAACGATCTACTAAAACTCTCTATTGTTGCACTGTCCCTTCACCTGAAGTTACTTCTTATTTTTTTTTACTGCTGCACTACCGGGGGATCTTAATGGTGGGACAACAGACCATCCCTGAACCTACGACGACTGGAATGGTGGTCGCAACCAGCGTCGTAAGACATAGTACTCAAAAAGTCCAATAAATATGGAGCAGCCTTGCAGCAGCTTCGCGTCTCATTACTATGTAAGAGTTTCTGGGGTTGAGTTATAAAACATGACCTCCCGAAACTCTTGACAGTCTTCTGAGGAACACTGAGGCAGTCTGTGATAAATTATGTATTAAGTGTATAACTACAGCCACTTTCGGCCAGTGACTGGCCGGAAGTCAATGGCCAGTGGCTGGCCGAAAGTGACTGGCCAAAGGTGAATGGCAAGTCATTGGCCTAAAGTGAATGGCTAGTCACTATCCAAATGTGAATGGCCAGTCACTGGCCAAAGGTGAATGGCCAGTCTCTGACCTAAAGTGATTGGCCAGCCACTGGACAAAGCTGAATGGCCAGTCACTGGCCTAAAGTGAATGGCCAGCGACTGGCATAAAGTGAATGGCAAGTCACCAGACGAGGACGAAAACACTTCTATTGCCGAGCACTTTGGCCAAGCTTGGGCCATCGAAAATCTGGTTGGCCATAGTACACTTGCCAGCGATGGCCCATTCACAACGTGCTGCTTGGGTAGCCCTTGTATATAAATAGTCGTTTTGTAACAACAGTTTTACACTTATCGATCCTAAATTTGAGTTAAAAGATATTGTCTACAACACTTGTTCTGAATATGCGTGGGCAGTACCGCACTCCAGGACCGATTACGGCGATCCTATGTTGAGATATACACTACCGCGAACCTTTTCAATTGTTGCAGTGGATTTATTATAAATATTTTGAGAGGAAGTCGGAAGAACGTACGTTTTGTTTTTGTTAATAATTTTTCTAAATACGTTTCTGAATAGTTAAGCATTAATCGATTCTACGATTAAGCTTATGGTGTAGAGACTGTGTATTTGTATGTATGTGTTTACAGTTTACCCCTATATTTTTCTCTGCTGGTGCACGGGGCGGGGGGGGGGGGGGGGGGGGGGCAGTGGCTCGTCAAGCAACACTGATCTGCTTTTTTTTCTGCCTCCGCTCTCCAAACGGAGAGAAATAAAGACTTTTGACTTCTTGGCTACGGATTGTTCATCTGCGTCTCACCCATGGATATCTCTTGCGTGGAGAGGATGCCCCAGAGTGTGAGCACTGCAACATTCCTCTAACAATATCACACATCCTGCTTAAGTGCCCCAAGTATGACCAAGATCGTTTAAAACAAAGTTTCGAAAATATATAAAGAGCATAATTTACTACACTTAGTAATTTCACTTGGCGAGCAGCCACTGATTCCACGTGCTTGGCTGTTCAATTGTTTAATGCCATGGGCGTTATACTCCATGTATGATTTTAGTTAATAATCCGAACTCGTCATCCTCCTGTACGCACTTACACATTATCATATAGATAGTTTTATCACATCAGCTACTATAGCCCTTTCTTCTTCCAAACCCTTATTTACAAAATAGTTAGCACTCTTGGCGGCATTTTGGCCTTAGCAGCCCTTGCGCCATGAAACCCTACTTAATCAATCAATCAATTTCTCTCAAATTGTTCTTTTTTTTGCGTGGTTAGAACTTATAAACCTGGCACCCATGACGGCGATTGACTGGACTCGTGTTGTCATTGCAATCTGGCATGAAAATCTCTACGTTGTATACACATCATCTTGTTGCCCCAGCACAATGGGGGACATTGATTACAGCTTATCGTTCGGTTTCGCATCTTTTGTTTCACCATTTTTGTTTACGCATCAAAGCACTTAGGCAGCGAGCGCTCTATTTCGTATTTCTAAAGTCGTCATCTTTAAACGCATGAATGGTAATAGTTCCCTACATCGAGGCAGAATGGGTGGCCCGCTCCGAACTCCCAGATTCCTAAAACAATAAAAAAAAAAAAAAAAAAAAACATCTAGAGATATGTACACAAAGTAGGTGTACTTTTCAGTTATCCATTGACTGGATGCCCTGTTTATGTTTGTGAATATGTTCCGCTCTTGGTCTGTTTGTCTGGTCTTTTGCGAGATATGTACGCACGGATTAAGCAATGGTCACGGCAAGACAAGATCTTGGTTGGTTAGAGTATAAAACAAAATAATCACTCAGCGTTTCACTCGACGAAGAAGGCTCCCCGGGTGGAGTGCATTCATTGCCTTTGTTCTCAATTGGCAAGGCCAGAAAACGAAAACTGCTGCGCGCATATCTGATGAAGCGTCACTCGTTTTTGCTCGGGACTGGTAAGTAAGGAATCCCGCACGAAATGTCAACGACGGGGAGTCTTTTTCGAATGCCCGGCTTCCAGCGTTCTCTCGTTTCCTACGCCGCGGGTTTGATTCCCGTGATTCTCGCAAAACGCCGGAGCATTGTAGAAGGTAGTCAAAGCGCGCTAAAGGCTGGACACTTGAAACGCTTTTCCGTCGTTCTCATTCTGCGAGTCACTACAGGTGCTGTTCAGGGGCAGTTGCGTCGGACTGGTGGAAGAGGGGGGCATTAGTGGCATTCTGTGTCTTCCATGTACTTTCATAATTTAATGTAGACAGTACAAAGCAGGGGCGAAAAAATTGCTTTCGCACACCCGCCCCCCCCCCCCCCTCCCTATTAACACCTAGCTCCTCCGACGTCAGATTGTTTGACGGTAATAGGAACGCATGTTCAGGGGATGTCCAAAGAGGATATTTCAAAACATGTGAAGCGACACTTCACCACCGTATGAAGTGAAAGCAGAAGTCTAGTCGTCCGTCTTTTGCTTGGACATCCACCAGGCAAACCTTGTGTGTTTCCTCCTTGCCTCCTTTTTTGTTTTTTTGTTTTTTTTTTGACATCCGTGCGCATCAGACTTCACGTCTCACGCGACCTGCCAACTGTGTGGCTTCATTATGTCTTCTGCCGTCATCAAGGCCGCCGTTGTAATGGCAGGAATGTCGAAGCAGTCCGGCCGTTCGGTTTCGACTCGCGCAAAGAGGCTTCGCCTTCTGAGACAAATGTAGTAGCCTTTTTGCGTCTCGCAAGGCTCAGCTTAGCTCGGCTTTGAACAGTGGCGGAGACCTTTTTGTGACAGGCAACAGAGTGTACGTGTGAGTGGCTGTCGTCGGACCCACGTCATGAGCACGCACTGGGCATCGCTGAAGGAGAGAAGGGAAAGTTGGCGGAGGGAAGCTTTCTCCCGGCAGGACACACGGCCTGAAGCGGATGACGCGCGGAGTACTGTGGCTTCACGCGTTCCGGAGTCTGCTGATCTAAAATCCCTCGAGAAATAGGTCCCATGTATCGTCTTCCAAGAACAACGATCTTGAATGTGTGGAATGAACGTTAGACGTGCGTACTCATCAATTCCTCCCAGGAGGAGAAACGAAATCTATGGGCACCCGCGCGCTCCAGCACTTAGAGTTCCTCCCACAGCTCTGCACGCGTTGTGTTCGCTTTTGAAGTGCACAAAAAAGTTGTCCCCGTGTATGGTTCTGAGAATGCGCTGCAAACAGCGCCCAAAAATATGGCAGACGGGGAATATCCCTTAGAGCACTACATACACTTACTTTAAACAGGTTGCCGCTTCGAGTTACTACAGTTGACATCCGATGAAGCAGATCTGTTCTGTTGTTTCCACTTGAATAATCCACAACGCCTTCAGATTTCAGGGAGAAATGGTGAACTTCAGCAATGTCTTCCTGAACGTGACTGCTGTGCCGGTAAGTAATACCAGCACGTTGCGTAGAACGTGTCTCTGACTGGTGTGCTTACCGCGTCAAATAAAAAAAACAATGGTGTCTCGATTTCCGCCTCATGATCTCATAAATTTTCTATGCTGCCACGAGCCTCAATCCTGGTGGTGTCAGAGAAGCGGTAGTGGTTGTGGCAGACGTCTGTTCCTGCTGCAGGCTGCTGTCCAGCGTGACAGTCCATGGAAGCTTCGACGGCCATGGCCAGGAGTGGGAGCGCCGTGACTTCAACGACAGTCGCGTTTTCTAGTGTTCTTTTAGATGACATCTGCGCCCAACGACAGGATGGCGACATTCTAGCGGTTCGGTGTGTTTATGGTAAGAGAGTGCGGCTTTTGTTACGTCAATTGTTGCCACCTCGGAACCGCTTTAGATCCCTGGGTTGAATAGGGCGCAAAATACACCAGTCGGAAACGCGATCCGGGCACCATAAAACCAGAAGTGGATCGGAATTGATTGCATCTAGTTAAACACAAGTTCGACGTTTTATTCAAATTCGTAGTTTCCTCCCTACGTTGTGCTGCACGAGAAGAATGGAAAGATGCAACTTCACGGTTTAACAGGTTCAGTCTTGGACAACATCACCGCAGCATTGAATATCACGTAAGATTTGTTTTTTGTGTGTTCTACATGCACGCCGCTACTGAGTTTCTTGAGTGCATTCGAATTTTGAGTAACAAGCGTTGATGTAATAATTTGGCCGAATGCCATTTAGAGCGGAGATACTGTTTGTTTAGGGCAAAGGAGAGTACTTTTATAATCCATCTTACGTCATTGACATTCTGAAAACTAAGGCCGCAGCGTTTGATGCGGGAAACCGCCCTAGTAGGTGGTTTCATGTGACGTCCTGCCGATTCATACAGATGTTGTACTCTATGCTAATCAACGTTTCCTCTCCGTGTTGTATGCACGAATGCAGTGTTTTTCCAGGTCGCTGGAGTTCTTATTATGATCAACTACGCCAGTGTAGTAGAAAGCACAAAGGAGCACAAGCTGCTGCTGAATTTTGTACATACCGGTTTTTATTCGAACTTTAGAAGAGCAGGCCATCCTAAAATGAACACGCTGGTGGCCGAATTACCCCAATAAATGCCGCCAGAGCGTCTTCAAGAAAAGGAACAACGGTGTAGGCACGATGTCTGCCGTGCAAATACTGTCCTGGTCGTACTTACTGAGCTCTGTGGTCAACTGAGCCACTCCAGATGTTTGCGCGTTTCGCTAGCACCCAAAACGACGCCAATGACTAATCGTCCGCTTATAAAAGATTGGTAAAAGAGCCGTGCGCTATTCATCAACATAGGGTTACTGAAAGGCGTTTTGTGAAACCGCCAAGCCCAGAGCAGCTGAAGTGATACTTTTTATTGCAAGTTAGCCGTAGATAAATGATCGAAATAATTTCCATTGAGACGTGTGCAGACAACCAAGTTACAATTTAATATAAAAAAGTATTATGAAATCACTGCACACAGTGCGCGCAGAATTCATTCCAAGCTTTTGCCTTCCAGTTACGACGTGGTTTTCCCGGATGATTCGGCTTGGGGAGCTATAATGGAAGACGGCAGCTGCACGGGTATGCTGAAGGCTGTACACGAAAAGGTGAGGCGCAATATTTACCAGTTCCGCAAAGTAGGGGCAAATTTTGAGCTAAGACAGCGGCAACACAGTGTGTAAGGTGTTGCTTCGCGGTCATGTTACAAGGTGAATTTGGTGCGCTATTGATGCCTCGACCACGCGAACATAGTTGTGCGTAGCGTCCGTTAAAGAAAGTTGTGTTAATGCTAGCGGTCGGATGGGAATGGAAAGCGAAGTTTCTCCATTTCACTCATACATTGTGGCCCGCAATTGCACGACTCCCCGCTTTGTACGAAGCCAAGTTCTTGTTCTCTTCTCTCTCACCTCCTGCGCACTCTCCCATCATATGAGCAAGAGCGCTCGAGCAACACAACGTAAATAGGTTCCATTTCCTACAGCACCATTTTGACTACGTTTGAGTAAGTTATGAGGAGTTAGGTAAAGGTATACGCAACGAAACAGAAGGAAGGGAGAAGGTCAAAGCGTGTGGCGAGGTCAGCGCGTCGAGGTCAGATGGATAGGATAGTGGGTAGGCACAAAAGTCAGGACGTTCTTCGGGGAAGCGTTTGAAGGTCCACGGTGCTGATGAACAATGATAAATCCACAAACGCTGGTTCACGCAGTAGCACAGGTTGCGTTCAGGGCGACCTGGCAACATGATTATTCGACAATAATACAAAATGTATCGAAACAACTGTCTCATTGCGCCAATAGGCGCGAGTAGTCTCTGACAACGTGGCAGTGGCAGAGAGGAGCTTCAGTTGTTCCGCCTCCTAAGCGAGTTTCCATTGACAACTCTGTAACTGTGAAGGCTAGTGCTCTGGCAAACCGCAGCACCTTTCGGAGCGCCGCCGTGCAATCAATGGATATTGAAGCAACGCTACATAAAATTTGGGCCTCTATGTTCGGTCCAACCCCCTGGCTCCTGTCATTACTCGATACATGATTGCGGACGAAATCGCGTGCACCTGTACGTTTGCCACTCGGCTTGGTCGGCACTAGTACATGCATGCAACTGCCGTTTGAAATGGCGTCATCTACGGAACTCTTTCAAAAATAAATGCCAAAAATCCTCGAAGGTCTATCTGGAGTCAAAGTGTTTATTGACGACATACTTGTCTAAAAAAGAACAGAAGCCTAACATAACAAACGGCTTTAAGCCGTGCCCATGCCTAGTTCAGGATGTCGACGATTCTCGTACAAGGCACAGCTCTGGCTATAGCATATTAACTATTTTGCCGAGCACATACCCAATATGTCGTAAATAAATAAACTATTACATAGTCTCAAAAATATATTAGTGTATTTAAGTGGACTGGCTCGCATAACACTTAGCGGGGGATATTGAAGACGCTGCTAGCAACCGGCCGCACACTTGCAGCTACAGAACACTGGGTAGCGATCAGTTCCGTATGCATCGCGAGCCCTTTAAACACTAAATCAAGCTATTACCAAACTGAAAATTAAACTCTGGGAGCCACTTACGAGTTGGAGAGATATCATACATTGGTATATTGAAAGAATTGTTTGGTTGAAACGGATAATAAGCATCTTAATTATTTTCATGGCCCAAAATCAGTAGGGAATATACCACCTCGATTCAAGTGTCTTTTATTTTTGTACTAATGAGGTACGACTTTGGCTTAACATTTATTCCTGGCAATGACCCTCGTTGTTCCTGATGTGTTTTCAAGATCGCTTTCGAAACGTAAAAAGGAAGACCAATTAGACTCGGGCGTTGAACCACATACTACATGTATTCAATAATGCACGGCCAGTCTAAACACCTCCTACGCTTCTGTACTACAAGTATACAAGCTTACTCAGTACACCCAAGCAGGAGATACGCATCCTTCTCTTGGTAAAGGTAAAGTCGTAAGGATTCCGGACAATTGGAGGTGGCAACGTAAGGCTCAGGTGGAACGAAACTTAGCGCATGTTTTTTATCTCGCCAGTACCGAATGCAGAAACGAGTTTCGACGAAACCGGATGCACCTCCGTCCTTCCCACGAGGCTTTTGCGCTGCAAGATAATCACTCTTAATCGCCATAACACAACACTTACTTTACTTTTCTCTGGCCCTGCACGTGAATATGATGTTCAAGCGCCTTCGTCTGGGAGCGTCATTAGAGTGACACCCGTGAATGCAGGGTAGTCGTCGACATTCATAAACATTCCTGTCGGACAGTCTAGACGTGCACAAGATCAAGACGATGACAATTAGAAACAATTATATTCAATGCATTTATTTTACCCTCACTTATAGTGAAAGGAAGGGAATAATAACTGTCCTGGCCAATGCTCTGGCAACCAGCGGCACTGTTTGCAGAGCCTCCGCGCACTGACAGGGTATTGGAGCAACAACGTACACCAACTTAATCCTATTTCTTCGAACCAACTTCCTGACTCCAGCCATTATTCGATACGAACTCTTCGGTATCCCATACACCTCCAGCGCCCGCAGTCAGAGAACCACGAGTTCAAAAGACACGCCCTGACGTTGTCATTTACTCACTGTCTACGTAGAATCATAGAAAACTAAAACATCGTCTGCTCCTAGCGTTAGGTTTAACGTTCCTAGTTTGAACGGGAGGCGCTGCGTCTCGCGTTTGGTAATAACTGTATTCTTAATACAACAAACCCTGACTCCGCCAGGGAACGTAGTACGCGTCCCGGGTCAAGGTTGAAGAACGGATGGCGGGCACGAAAGTACCATGCCATGAGCTCCACCAATCTGCTGCGCAACCAAGGGGGGAGGGGGGGGGGGGGGCGTGACGCGCAAAAAACAACAGGAGACTTCGCTGAAGGGAGTACGAAACCCATCGCGAATGTTTTGGCAACTGAGAACAGCTTGAAAAGCAGCAAGAGAACGGTACAAGAGGAAAACGTGGCGACGCTATGCACGGCGTCGCGTGCCTGGAACGCCGAGACTGGAGCAAGCGTTAGCTATGCTCATAATAAAACACATTTCTGCTTATAACAATTGGATTGATAGAACAAAATGCACCTCAATATTGTTTCTTTTTTCCAACAGAAAGCTGACCTTGCTTTGGGCCCCTTCACAATGGACGAGTCCCTCAGAACTCATTTCCTGACAACATCAATTTCTGGCTTCATCGAACTTCGCATGACCAGTGGAATCAAAGAACTGTCAGCGGCTAACACTATGGGGATACTAAGCGCCTTTGATCTGGCCGTAAGTGCCGAAACCTCCTGAGGGTCACGCTGCTAATTGAGTTTTAAAATATTAATTTTTCTGTCATTTTCTCCTTCCTCTTTCTTTTTCTTTCTCCCAGAAGGGATCTAATATTTTTTTTAGGAATTATTTGCGGTGAAATAATAAAACGATGGTCGTCGACGTCCATATCACACAATTGAACATACCGAATTTGCGTGAAAAGTAATAACCATGATCAAATTTAAGTAGACCGTGGATCAACGAGCTGGCATAATTCAAGCTTTCCGAAATCAAACTCTGAATACATTTCCGAATGCTCCCAGATCTATCCATGACGGTAATACCTATATACGGGTGAAGAATGAAGGAGAGGAGCAGATGGAGATCGCGCGGGGTTTTTAAAACACCTAGCTCTGGTTCCAATTATTAGTGGTTGTCTACTCACCATTCGAACGTCGAACGCCGGCGACCGCCGCTCGGACTTCGCTTTCGAATTGCAAGTAGAGACAATAGGAAACTACTTTTGCGTTTTCCCACTAATCATTCCAAACAGTGCTAGGTGTTCTAACGTCCCCTCCCACTCTCATCGCCTCATTTTCCTCAGTTTCTACCCTTATAGTTGGAGTAATAATTAAAACCCAGTAGATATTGCGTCTCGAGCTCGAGCTTTCTGTCGTCGATAACGCGCGGCAAAAGCCCCTGGAAGGTGACGAGCGCGTATTCGGGGCAGAGCACCTACCGGTTTCTCATTCTGTCACCCACTACTGTCTCATAGAATTATTTATATCGAAATGTATACCTGTGAAATACAAGTAGTGACGACCATGTAAAGCTAACGTGCCACACAGGTTTATGGGGATGATGGTGGAAAAGCATTATGGGTGGCGCAATGTGCTGTGTATGGGACCAGCCGTCACTTACTATTTACGCGGCCGCAGTCCACTCTCTGAGCAGAAAATGGATTTACTTTCGTTCGGATGTTTTCTTAGACATTTTGCATGCCTGGTAGTCTTGAGACACTGAAGAAATAATTACCGAAACCAAGTTTCTTAATTAACCCGCCACTCCGGCGGCTGAAAGAGCTTCAGTTGTTTCTGTTAGCCGGATTCTTTTACTGTTCGTGGATTTGATGATTTGCAGAAGATGGCGAGGTTCCTTGTCATGCTCTCTAACTTTCTTACTTAAGCTTATTTTGTGTACTAGTGTATCCCATTGTTTTCCACATATTTATTATATAACAGAGCTTAATTTCGTCACAACGAATTGCTTTGACGCAAAATTAACATCCGTTGCGTTGTCACATTCGGAATCCCTTGTAACAGCCGCCTACGGCAGGTGCACTAGCACAGTTGCAGAATATCAAGGATCACGGGAAACATAATGCATGTATAGAATGTAAATGCGCGATTTTATTACAGGATGAACACGTGGAGCTCTAAACATATGGGAGTTATATGTGAATACACAGTGCAGTCACAGTAATCGCTGTGACAACTTAACACATCCTTATGTATATTGCACCTTACGCAGCAAGATCTTCGCCAATTTCTACACGAGGGTGTCATAATTATCTGAACAGTAGGACTATACACATAAGTTGTATTGTGTAACTACTAGCGTATGTGACAAAATGGCCTCACGGGAGAGCTTGACGTCTCATGCTCCACAACTTCATGTGACGCCACGAAGCCACACAACGCTGTGCGGTCACGTCACACCGTGACGCTACGTGACATTCCAACATCCCGTAACAGTGCGACGTCTGGTGACAGTATTATGCCATGTGACACTGTGACGTCGCATGACATCATGGCATCACCTGACTCTAATGTCACGATGTCGCGTGATGAAATCGACGACGGACGCCCTACGTAATTTCGAGTGGGTCAGAGAAGCCAATAACAATCCTATCAACGCAAAAATATTGCTTTGGGCCTTGGGCGCTGTCTCAAGCACTAGCGCGTTAGTGCAAACTTTAAACTGTAACACGTTACATTTTTTTTTTTCATATCTAACAGTTAATTCTAGTTCTCGAGAAATACCATTAAACGTTACGATATTTTTGTTTGGCAAAACTTTTCCCCAATCTTTTTCTTTTTTTATTTAGGATTAGAATATCATTGAACAAGGAAAATCTAGCCATTGTTTATACTTTCCAAATTATGTATTCCGACATTTCAAGTGCCATTTTTGCTCTGCGCCGAACTGGAACAACTTGTTTATCACGAGGCGCAACGTGGCTATAGACACGTGCGAATGTTATGCCAAAGAACATAGATATCTTTAAGCTCGGTTCACATCTGAGATTTTACTTCAGGTTTTAAAGCTTCGGTGTTAAGAACCGCAGCCTGCACCAAGGTTTTTCTGTCGCGCGAGCGACATGGCAATTGCGATATAGCAGGTACAATCATACCATGTGGTTCGAAGATTACACGTGCGTTTGTTTTTTTTACTGAAAACTTACACGTTGACAGCTTGGAGCACCATCCTTGCTGACGTTTTTTTTTTTTTTTTTATTGTTTCTGGACAATTGTTGATCAGTCTTGATTTTTAGCTTAAGGAAAATGAACTACAAAAGTAACACCATAACTTTTAAAAATAAATGTAACGATTACATTTTTGTTCCAAGAACTCTGCCGATCACTTATATACTTATTTGTGAAAGTAACTGTAACAGTAAGAAATTACTTTTTGAAAGTAACTTAGCGAAGACTGTTTGAGTGTACAGGCGGATCGCCCGCACTTTGTTTTCTTTGTCTCATCCAGACTTGGATCCTGCTTTTTGTGTCCATCATCATTCTGGCTGTTCTTTCATGGGCCTTGCAACTTTCTTACGGGAAAAGCACTAACCCGGTTGGAAACGTTGGCTGGAAAGTTGTAGATTTCCTATGGAACTACGTCTCGGCACTTCTGAAACAAGGTACTGGCTTGTTTAATTGATTTTCACTTTTGCGGAAACGCTTAAACACATAAAAATAATGTTAGCGTTAATAAAATAATGAAATCAACTACTGCTTACGAATTGTACGCCAAGACCTTAGCTCTCCTTTCGTGCTAAAAATCATTAACAACAATAAACGAATAATTTCTGGAAAGTAAATATCGGCAAACTTAATATTTCTTGGCGAATTGTGTGATCCAACGTACAAAAATGTGTCCTAGTCTTCATTTTTCTGACCAAAAGAATCCTTCTTTTAAAACCTTGTACACTTGCACGTGACAACTTTCACACTGTTGTGGTGCTTGGCTTAATAATTTGATCCTTAATTCTCCACGTTGCTTCTAGGAACGAGGGCTTTCCGTTCTGCCCAAGGGAGCAAGTTCCTCGTGTGTGCTTGGCTCCTCGGCACTCTGATCCTGACGACGTACTTTACTAGCCTGATCGTGGCTTCACTCACCGTGAAAATTCCCAAACCGAGGATAAATTACATTGAAGACCTTGTTAAAAGACTTGATGTGACGCCACTTCTAGCCAGGGAAACGCAATTCGTTACGTTGTTAGAGGTGAGTCACATGAAATGTCTACACGGTCGTCGAATATTTTTGCCAGGGGGATCGCTGGCTGAGTATGTAAGCACTGCAGAATTTAGGGGCTCTGAGTTAAATTCCCACCCGGCCACTGTCGATTCGCATCAGCATTGTACCGGCTTTCGGTCGTGTATCACTCTTGTGTGATGCACGTAGAAGACCTCAAGCTAGTAGTGGTAGTGCAGTGGCAAAATATCTTATCTACAGCGGAGACGTTACAAGCCAACTGGGGACAACTACCTTCCCCCGATCTAAAAGATATGTATAGCACTATTTGCTCGCACAAGGAGCCAATAACAACTACCCATGTAAATAATCTAATACTCTGGAAAGATCTGTGAAAAAAACCGTTGCTCTCTACCCGGCTGCGGGAATTGGAAGGAGTCGAGACCAGGGTTCTTTTTTGAATGAACACCAAAGAAGGATCGTGGTGCTCCCGTTCTTCATAACGCACACTTTTCCCTTCTCCCCCCCTCTCCCATATAGCACTGTCCAGCGATAGTTGCATAAAGTTATTCCAATCCTTGAATTTCCCTGTAAACTAGAAATTAAACTTTAAAAATACTCTTATTGATTGTTCTGTTCTGGTAAAGAAAAAAATGCTCAGGCATGCCAGATTTCTGTTGCTCCGATGAACTCATAGACGTGCTACAAATTACCCCTGCAGAATTCAGAAACAGAAATGTACAGCAAACTCCATAAGATCATCACTCGCAACCGCGGCTTGCGAAACGTAACCGAGCTGTACAATCCCGACGACATCAGCCTCGTGATGCAAGAGAAGGCGGTCTTGCTTGTGGACAAGTATTCGCCGATGTTGCGCCTCTCGCACATGTGTCCCTCGTTGGAAGGGCGATTCTACATAGGAAAAGGCTACCTCTACCTGTGGAACTCTGTCTCGGTCACACACAAAGACTTTCCCAGGGACGTCATGGTGGAAATGAACAAAAGGTTAGTACACTTCTTGCATCAATTTAAGCATGATGTTGACTGCTAAAGAGCTAATTCGGCTATTAGCAGTGTATAAAGGTAATATTGAAGTGACACTACAACGAACTTTCGGAGCTTATTTTTTTGTCTCTACGTGTTCAAAATAGTAGTACCACACCCGACACGCCGATATCTTGTTAAAAAATAACGAAATTGAATTTCGAAGCAAATGAAACGGTTAGCAAATAGCTCTTAGAGTCGGTCGCTAAAGCCTCGTTTGTAATACTCGTCTAGGAACCTTGATAGGTAGTGACGATAACTGTCTCTCCTAGAACTGTACATGCTTTGAACCTGACGTTAAGCTGAAAGCTCTACAGTCAGCTTAAGAGAAGACGGAACCCTCCCTTGTGTGTCCCAGACTTCGCTATTCTTGGTGTACAGGAGTAGAGAAGATTAACCCGTCAATCAAAACTCACACAAAAGCAGCTTTGCGGTTAGTTCCGGTTGCCCTATCGCTGGCGTGGATGGAACGGCAAGGGCATCCTGACGATGTCACCCATACCGCTGGTTTGCTTATCTCGAGACAAACTACTTCACAAGTGCTCTCCGCAGTCTGTTCTCCGAGCGCTTGCCAGAGTGGGCTATTTATAAGGAAAAATGCAACCATCAGGCCCAAATTGCAAATGTGCGATTGTCATTTACGGTTATTGTGGATAATTTCAGCCTATTTCTGAACACGACGGGTATATTTCAAATTTCGTTGAAGTATTCCTTTAAAGACGGCTTATTTTCCGGAGTATATACCGTGTGGTAAAATTCCCACAGAAACGTTTTTTCTTAAATATTCCGGACAAGGAACAAAGTCGGTACCTGTTCCGAACCCTTTACATAAATATTTACATGCACAGGGCACTTTGAAAAACGTCTGCTTTCTTAACCTTCAAGAAAGATTCCTATGATACGGAAATTATCAATAACTTTATCTGGCATTCACAGAATGTGTCACATTCGCCATAATAAATGATCTCGGAAAAATACAGACGCGTGTGTAGTCCTCAACACGTAAAATTTCAGATTTTAGACGTGTCTAGATTGAGTGCTATAGTGCGAAATTTAAAACATGTTTATTATCGGGTGTAACAATCATGCCATTTAGACGACTACACATATGATGCAACACTATTTTCTGCTTGAAATGTTCTTCTTGTTTCGACCCAGTGATGTGAATGCTATTTCTGCTCTCGTATGCACCTTCTAATGGACTTTCTTTTCGCGATTTCTCTTCAGAGGATGAATTCGCAGGATGTATCTTTCTTGCAGGATCACGTGGTGGTTCGAAAGTGGTGTGCCGTCCATGCACCCCTACGAACTGGACCCACCTCAAGCGACTTGCTTTGTCGGAAGCCGCAAGGAAACTTCCTACGTGTTCGACACAACGCGCTTTCAAGATTTAACGACTGTGTTTTTCTTGTATCTCATCATGAGTGCATTCGCAATTGTAATTTTCTGCCTAGAAATTGCTGTAAGACATTACAGTGTTGGCTAACATATCGCCGGAGTCCAGTCAGTTGCCTTAGGAAAGTTAATTAAAGGATGCACAGGTTACAATTTTTCACATTATACTTTCCTGTATTGGAAATGCAAAAAAATGCGATATTGGAGCCGAAAAGCGGCTCCAATATCGGCCAAATGTACGCTTTTGCACCACTTCCCGACACCCGAAATCCGGCAGGGATTGGCGTGCCGCCGTTTAGCCACCGGTCAAGTATCTCCGTAATATCGTGAGACTACTGCCCCGGGTCAGTCTGTCGGTCAGTTATAGGCCAGCGGACAGCGGAATTGTTTTCGATCTTTCACGGAGGTTTATTAATCCTCTAGCAGTACATGCAGCTTTTTTTAATCAATATGATTACACCAGTTTCATGCCAAAGAGAATTCATAGATAATAAAAAGGCCCTGTAGGGTATAGAGTTCTAGTAGATTGTTTCGATGATTCGAATAACGATACCCGGTACCCCTCCGCCGCCACTGCGCAGACATTAGTGGGTTTTCTGACATCGTTTTTTTCCGTCCCGCGACGCTCTCCGCAACCCGCTACAATACCCGGAACTCTACAGCCAAGGCCATCGGCGCGCAGGCACAGTTTCGGCTTTTCCGTCGCAGAAGGCTTAGCGGAGGGGAAAACGCAGTCTACGAGAACTCCCGGTTGCTTTGTTATCGGACGTATCGAAGGTATCGGAACGATCTAGTAAAATTATATATTGAAACGGAAGCAGGACTACTGTTAGAAGCATGCTTGCAGTGTACTTACGAATAGACAGAGATATGATGTAACTCCTAATAAATGCATAGTCCGACTGGGGCAGCACAGAACAACGCGAGCGCAAAGTCGAGAATAAGAAGAGCTCCCACTTTCAACGAAAGCCTCGCTATCGGCAATGAGCCGCTCTTTGTCGAAGCGCATCACACAAACACAGCACAAGAATTTCATGGACTACGACGAAGAAGTGGCCATTACCGAAACGCTTGATGGACCTACTCCGGCTGTGCACGACGAAACAACATGGTCGCGTCTGCAAAGTACGAAATGAACAGAACACTGAACAGCGCCAATCAGAAACCGGATTTTCTTGGCCCCTATACCAATCTCCATAACGGGGCAATCGGTGAAGGCTACGGCCCCAGTGATTCCTTCAGCACGTCAAAGCGAGTCATGTAGCAAAAGTTGCCGTTGAGCTCGCTCACAGACACACGAAGACACAAAGGAAGGTGGAGAGGCTCAACAAAACGCGAGGTCATGGGTAAAAAGACAAGGGAGATAAGCGGCCTCTTCTTTAATTCTCTGTCTGTCCTTTCTGGGCTTAAAGCAAGCAGATGATTATAGTTCAATTAAATGCGAAGGTGCTAACGAGCTGGGCAAGAATGACGAAAGTAATTCCTGGAGAATTGAAACATGGAGAACAAAGGACAAACACAAAACTCCAAACGCAGCAAGGGGACTGGTGCGCGACCGAAAAACTCCGCCTGGTCCGGGTATCGAATCCGGAGAGGTCACGGGTTCGATACTGCCTGATGGAACAAGGAAACTGGAATCACGGTTAGAGGGAAAATAATGCTAATATAGCTTATAAGTGCTTATATTTGAAAACATCTAAGACGAAGCATTTGTTCTGAAGGAAGCAAAAGTAAGAATGAAAAACGAGGAAGCGGTTTTTAATTCTGACCACTGACCTAAAAGTGCTAAGCGCGAATATTATCAGAATAAATTCGAGCACATTCACGATTACTAAAGAAAATTACCGGACGTCGCAGACGACCTGACTAACAGGAAACAAGCTAGCCGCTACAGGCAACACATCCTGATAGATAATCAAACTTTCTCGGTAAAAACCTTGTGGACAAAATTAAATGACACTTTGTAAATATTGGCACAACATTGAACAACATGACAAGACAGACAACCACACTGCGATGGCTAGTCCTTCGGGATTAATAATGCTTGTTTTGATCGACATCAAGCGAAGTTAATAAAATCATTATAAATATGAAAAAAAAAAGTTTCTGCTGGTAACAAGGAAATAAAAACACTGCCTATTAAGCTTGTAGTGGCTCTCCTGAGTAATATTTCATCTTACATTATAAGTATAATGCGTGCAGCTGGTAATTTGCCAGGTAAACTGCAATTGGCAAAAGAGATTCCTGCGTATAAATGAGGTGCAGAAACAATAATAATTAAATAGAAATACCATTTCCTGTTCCTCCCAACTACTCAAAAACATTTATTAACGCGTAATCAATGACAGGTTAACCAGTTCTTTTCCAGAAGCATAATAAAATAGCTAACGCGCGGTACGGTTTTCAGAAGCCTGTCCATGGAGCAAGCACATTTGAATATCGAAGACAAAACTGTAGGAAACATTGTAAAACCTTACGCTCGAGTTGTTTCAAAAAGCCCATCAAAAAATGATGGCCGCAGTATTTTCTTCTTTCAATTCTGCGAGCGGTTTTTGCAGGTCGCAAATGATAACCATTACGATTTAATTTTGGGGGGAGACTTCAATATCGATATGTTGAAAGATAGCGCTTGTAAGCGTGAATTTAATATTTTAATCGAAACAAACGGATGTGTCAACGTTATTGAATCTCCCACTAGAGTCACAGTGCGTAGTGAAACAATGATCGATCTTTTTATTACAAACGCACAGCCTGATAAGATTACATCCGGAACGCTAGGTTATGATATTAGTGACCACCTTCCAATATTCCTATGCTTAAATACCAAACCATATAAAGAAGTTAGAGACACAGGAACATTTGTGTTTCAAGACATAACAAACGACAGATTAAATGCTTTTAAAGCAGATATCTCTCAAATTAATTGGAGCCCAATATACAACTGTGAGGATGTTAATCTTGCGTATAATACATTTTTGGAGAAAGTTACAACTATTTACAATCGTCATTTTCCTTGGAAAACCTTGAAAGTGTCTAAAAAGATTCGCAAGCCATGGATAACGCCTGAATTGTTGAAGAAAATTGAGAAAAAAAATATGCTATACCAGAAATTCCTTAAAACTAGAGAGCCGTCTCAGCTTTTAAGTTTTAAGGTGTATCGAAATCAATTAACAAAAATACTACGGAAAGCTAAGACGGTGTATCACACCAACTCTTTTCAGGCGCAATCTACACGTGCGGATGTTGTCTGGAGAAAATTGAACACCGTTTTAAATCGCGTTCCAAATCGGCAGCCTATAGATAGCATTGTCCATGAAGGAGTGTACTTGAATGGTAATTCTTTAGCTAATACTTTTAATGACTACTTTGCAGGCTTAGTTAGTGACAATACTACCACAGATGCGTTCCGCGGTTACTTAGAGTATAGAAATAACCATTCTATTTTTCTTGAACCCGTCACAAATTCTGAGGTTTGCTCCGTTTTTATGCAACTGAAAAATAGCAGTAGCTGTGACTGTGATAATTTGCAAATTCGACCTATTAAATACATACTTGACTTAGTAGCACCCTGTCTGTGTCACATTTTTAATCTGTCTTTAACAACGGGGTTATTTCCTGAAAAGATGCAGATGGCGAAAGTGGCAGTGTTGCATAAAAAGGGTGATAAAAATATACTCGGCAACTATCGACCCCTTTCTATCCTCCCGTTATTCTCCAAAGGCCTAGAAAAAATAATACATAGTCGTCTAGTTCAATTTTCTGATAAGCATAACCTGCTGACTCCCGCCCAATTTGGTTTTAGGAAAGGTCGATCGACCGAATTAGCATTACTAGAGCAAAAAGAATATATTTTAAAGAAATTCGAGGAAAAAAAGCAGGTTCTAGGTATATTCGTTGACTTCACGAAAGCCTTTGATTTTATCAACCATAACATCTTACTTAAAAAAATTGAGCTTTATGGTGTCCGCGGGTTGCCTTTAGAACTTCTACGTTCCTACTTGCAACACCGTTGCCAATATGTTTCTATTGGCCAATTTTCTTCTGACGTTAAACCTATTCACTCTGGCGTCCCACAGGGGAGCATTCTTGGACCGTTTCTTTTTAATATGTACATAAATGACATTGTAAGCATAAGTCAGGCAAAATTTGTCATATATGCCGACGACAGTAGCTTATTCTTTTCTTCAGATAATAGCGATGATCTTGTCACAATCGCCAATGACAGTTTGTCCAAACTTGGGGTATGGGCAAAAGATAACTGCTTAAAAATTAATACTGATAAAACTAAAGCTATCATTTTTCGACCCAAAAATAAGTGCGTACATCTAACGAGAAGCATTGTGCTTGACTCTACGCCAATTGAAATTGTCAGTAATTTTAAAAGTCTAGGAGTCATATTTTCAGAACATATGTTGTGGGACAGTCACATTAACCACTTACTTGCAAAATTATCAACCATCATAGGTCTGACATTCCATAACGGCAAAACACTCCCAGTTAGTGTGAAGCTTCTAATTTACAATTCTTTATTCTATTCTCATCTCAGCTACTGCAACCTCGTCTGGGGTAACACCACATTCACAAACCTGCAAAAATTATTTTTACTGCAGAAAAAAATGGTTCGAATAATATGCAACGTGCCTTATGATTTCCATACCGGCAGTTTGTTTAGTAAGTTTAGCGTATTAAAAATTCATAGCCTTTATGAATATAGATTGATTCTGAGTTTAAAGTCAGAAAAAAGGAAACATTATAAATTGTTGTCAACTCTAGCGGCATTGACACCAAATGTACACGTTCACTTAACTAGACACATGGAGTATTGGAAGGTTGTTTACTGTTCTACAAACTATGGTAGGCAAATGTTACGATATACCGTACCAAAACTGTTAAATTTCCTTCTAGAAAAAGAAATTTGCGTTGACTCTATCTCCTTCAAGGCTTTGCGTTCTCTTTATATGTAGCAGTGATTTACCTCCCCCACTCAAATGATTCATTAATTTGTTTGTGCTATACAGAATGCACTGTTTTGTGTTTTTTGGATTTCTGTTTGCAACAACTGTGCTTGCTATCTCTTTAGGTGACTAATGGCTGTTTTGTAATCTGGAGCACATAATATACATTTTTTTTTTTTTTTTGCCGCAATGCCAATGTACGGGGCCGAGGGCTGGTCAAGCCTCCTTTGAGGCTTTTACCCTTTGCTCCACCATGCTTCATGGAAAATAAACTATTATTATATTATAAATAAACAAGTGTTCGACCATGACATTTTACTAAAAAAAAATAATATCACTGTGAAAGAGGCGGAGCACTAATAATAATTAAAATCATTTCATAGATCGCCATCACGACGTTTGTATAGTAAACAAATAATAGCTAAAAAAATTAAAATAAAACACGGCGTTCACATGGCTGTAAATTTTAGGTCCTTGATTATTTCCAGATTGCGTGGATGATATTACAATGATTCCAGATTCAATAGAGCTGATAGTATACGCTAATGATACCAACGTATTTTTTTGCTGGAGTTACAAAACAAGCGCATAGAAAGTGCTGGAAATGCCTACCGCTTTATGCTATCAAGTTGGTCACGAATCAGTCAATTGAAATTTATTACATGTAAAC